GGGGGGGGGGGGGGGGAGGAGGTTTGATAAACATGTACTTCCACCCCTATAGCTCAAGTTTTTTAACCAATTGAGCAATTCCCTTCTCATCAGTGTTCGCAAGAATCTTTCCATTTAACTCTTTTCTGTTCCTGAACTCTGTGAGTCAATCAACTACAAATGGCACATTCTTTCTTGTCTTACCCCTACTGGCCCTTGCAGAAGGGGCAACGGGCTTTGTAACTTTAACACCCTTTCTTTTTGGTGTAGAAGACTTAGCTGGAAAGGCAGAGTCAGACTCATCTTCTCAATCCACCTTAACAACAGGTTCCACAATTTAGACCTTCTTCTTTGGCTTCTTTGCACTTCTAGACTCCTTAATAATTTGTGCTTTAACAACCTTTCTTTTACTCCTTGTAAGAGGAGTTCTAGCAGGAGGAGCCGCTCCATTCCTTGTTGAGACTTCTGACTTTGTAGCTTTCACAGGGGTTTTCTTGGGTTTCTTCCCCACCTCAGATAGTGGCACATCATCTTCATCAGTTCTAACGTCTTCATCTCCAGTGAAAGGAGTTAATAGAGACCCAGGTTCTTGAGCCCTTGTCTCTTCACCAGTTTTTTCTGAAGGGGCTATGACAGTGTTCACAATGGTCATGGAACCTTTAGATTCCTCACTCATATTTCCATCTTCTTCCTCACTCTCTTCATCATCTCCTTCACTTTCATTTCCCTTTTCTTGATCCTCACCCTCACTTTCAGAGTCGTCCTCTTCTTTACTATGATTTTTTTTCTACAGAATCATTAACCTGTTCACCTGTCTTATCATCTATATCACTCTCCTTCTTATCTCCAGATGCTCCCTCATTCTTACTCTTTTCTTCTTCATTGGCTGTGTTTGGAGCATCATGCTGCTCATGACTGTTCACAACTTCTTCTTATTTTGCACCCCCATCATCTTCCTCATCCTCAGTCCAACTAAAAGAAAGACCATCAGAAGCCTCCTTTTGCACAGGTTCTTTACTTCCTTCACCCTCAACCACAAACTTCACAACAGTAGTATCTACCTCCTTCCCCAAATCACCTACACTCTTTTCTACAATGAATTTCTTCACTTGTGGCTTCTCACCCGTGGGTAGGAGAGTATCTAGGGGTGCAGCCTATAGCAGACACCAAAACATCTAATTTCAAAGGAGGATGTTGTACCTGATCAGTAGTGACTGGCACCGATTCCTCCTAAACCACAGATTCCTTAGCTACAGTGTCACCCTGCATAGAAGCATTAGGCACTTTCTTGACATATTGTCTTGGAGTGGCCTTTACCTTTGTTGACTTAGAGGTATTTTTATGTAGTAAGCTCAAGTACATGGGTGGTTGGTTTTGGAGGAGGGGATACAATAGAGATGGGCATGATCAGAACAACAGGAACATGGGATGATGATGTAGGTATAGTGGAGGATATCGAATGAGAAGGAACATGTATGGGTTCCCTTGATGGCTTGGCAATTATCTTCGATTTGGGGTTCATGATTTTGGGTTTTGATTCAACCTTGGTTGATGATTTAGTTTTAGAGGGTGTTCGACTAGCTTTAGGCATGGTGATCAGATGAGATACTCGAAGAAGAGAAAGGGAGAATTAGTTCTCGATAATTACTCTTGATTCTTGCTTAGGGTTTGAGAGAAACAGTGAGGTCTGAGAAGCTGATCTTAAGATCCTTTTAAAGACGTTACTTCTGATTTGTCTGGAAGAGAGAAGGTGATCAAATTTGAGTTCTAACTGGACTCTTATAATGATTACTTTGAATGTTAGGATTTCAGGAGTAATTGAACTCTAATTACACTAGGATTTCCCCTTACTCTTTGACTAGAAGATGACTGGAAGTGATGCCAACTGAATTAGAAGTCTGAGTATAGCAATAATTTAAGGATATAAAGTCCTAGTGACTTAAGACAGTATGACACGTACTTGAGTCAAAGAACCAACTCCTTAGCAACTCCTTATTTGTTTCTGTAATAAAGCTTCATCACTTTATATTCGTATCACACATCATAGTTATCGGCCAAATTTTCCAAGCAAATGTGTGAGCTTAATACAAGCACAAAGCTGAATTAAATACATTGTACTTAATTATCTACATCTAATTATGCCTTATCTAGCCAATCACTCAGATTCAACTTAGTCGGAAGAGTTGATTAGACCTAGTTCTAATCTATTCCTTTCAAAGTGATCCCTACTCAGAGCTTTAGTAAAAATATCAGCAATTTGATCTTCACTTTTACAAAAGTTAATTGAGATATTCCCCTTTTCGACATTGTCTCTGAGAAAGTGATGTATAATGTCAATGTGCTTGGTTCTCTTGTGCTGACATGGAGTTTTAGCAATATTTATGGAACTGGTGTTATCATAGAAAATGGGAACACAATCAACAAATATACCATAGTCCCTTAGTTGTTGTCTTATCCATGGTAACTGAGCACAACAAGATGCTGCTGCCACATATTCAGCCTCAGCTGTAGATAAGGCCACTGAGTTTTGCTTCTTGGTTTCCCAAGACACCAGACAAGAACCTAGAAAATGAGCTGTTCCTAAGTACTTTTCGTGTCAAAATGAAAACCTGCATAGTCAACATCAACATAACTAACTAAATCAAAGCTATACCCTCTGGGATACCATAGACAGAGGTCAGTGGTCCACTTGAGATATCTTAGTATCCTTTTGACAGCCTACATGTGAGATTCCTTGGGATTTGCCTGAAATATTGCACATAATCTCACACTCAACACTATATCAAGCCTGCTTGCTGTGAGGTACAATCATTCCTCTATATAGTTTATGTTCCACACTTTTCCCTTCTTCATTAAGGTCCAGCTTTGTTGCAGTTGCAATGGGTGTATCAATGGACTTAGATGAGTCCATGTTGAACTTCTTCAGTAGTTTTTTGATATATTTTTACTGATGTATCATAGTTCCAGTAGGTGTTTGCTTGATTTGCAGCCCCAGAAAGAAGTTTATTTCACCCATCATGCTCATTTTAAACTCATCCCATCATCTCAGCAAATTCCTTGCATATTGCTTCATTGGTAGCCCCAAAGATAATGTCATCCATATACAGTGCACAATCAGAATATTCTTCCCTCTGCTCCTAAGAAATAGAGTGTTGTCCACATTTCCTCTTACAAAGTTGTTGGCTAAGAGGAATTTTGAGAGCCTTTAATACCAAGCTCTTGGAGCCTGTTTCAGTCCATAAAGAGTTTTATCTAGTTTGAACACCTAGTCAGGAAATTCTTCACTTTCAAATCCAGGAGGTTATTTGAGAAACTCTTCCTCCTTCAGATAACCATTCAAAAAGGCACTCTTTACATCCATCTAATATAAGGTGAACTCCATGTGGGCAGCAAAGGCTATCAACATTTTTATAGCGTCTATTCTAGCTACAAGTGCACACGTCTCATCATAGTCAATGCCCTCATCTTGATTGTATCCCTGAATCACCAGTATGGCGTTACTTTTGATATTTCCTTGTTCATCCAACTTTATACTGAGGTTTATATTCCTTTGTATCTCCATCACCAATGAATCCTATGTCATAATCTTCATCATGCAGACCTCTCTCAGGCAAATTGTTAGATTCATAAAAAATGACATGAATATTTTCTTCCACACACATAATTTATTTTATTAAAAACCTTATAGGCTTACTACTATATAGAGAGTAACCCAAGAAAATTCCCTCATCACTTCTGTCATCAAACTTACCTAGAGCTTCTTTCCAATTAATATGCACAAAATATTTGCACCCAAAGGCTCTCAAGTGAGTTATGTTGGGTTTTCTTCCTCGAAGTAACTCATAGGGAGTTATCTCAAGAATGGGTCTGACCATGCATCTATTTAGCAGGTAGCAAGCAGTATTGATTGCCTCAGCCTTGAAACTCTTAGGCAGTCCACTAGCAATCAATATGGTCCTCCCCATGTCTTCTAAGGATCTCAAGAACAAAGTCCAGGTATACCCGGAGACGTCACCAACAATCACAAACACATACCTCTTACCTCCTCTGATCCTTATTCTCATTGGTCCACTTAGGTACATGTGAAAGAGTTCCAGATGTTTAGAAGTACTTACAACCATTTTAGATTTAAAGGATGACCTTACATGTTTTCCTCTAACACAAGCATCATACACCTTGTCAGAGGTGAACACAACTTTAGGTAGCCCAAGGACCAAGTCCTTTGCTGCCAACTTGTTGAGTTGAGAGAGACTGGCATGTCCCAGTCTTCTATGCCATAGCAGTGGATCATCTTCCACTACACTCAAGCATGTGTGCTCACTCTGGGGAAGTGACATAATTGATATCTTATAGATATTATTATGTCTATTACCCTTTAACACAATTTCATCAGTATCAAGATTAGTGACAGTGCAAATTTTGGAATTGAATTTTACCTCATTTTCTTTTTCGCACATTTGAGATATGCTAAGAAGATTCTGTTTAAGACCTACCACATAATACACATCTTTTATAACACGAGAGAGTGACTTACCAACCTTGCATTGATTTGTTAACTGGCCCTCTTTCCCATTGCCAAATGACACACTCCCTCCTTGGAAGGGTGTCAGTGAGAGGAAGTTTTTCTTTTCTCCAGTCATATGTCTTGAGCATCCACTGTCTAGATACCAGTCCTGATTATTTCCTTTCACCTTAGCCTGCACCAAAATTCACAAGTTAGTTTTGTGAACCCAGACAAGCTTGGGTCCCTTTTTGTTGAAAAAATGATGAATCAGATCCCTTCTTGCCTAGAAGGGGAGAGGATTAGAAACTATTTTCTTGTTAACGTTAATCCACTTAGCAGGGACAAAGGAACTGAGCATGAATTAAGGCAGGACACGTGTCTCTAAAGTGTCCTACTCTTCCACAGTGAGTGCACATGTTATTATTAGAAATTCCTACATACTTTGGGTCAAACTTAAGGACATGTTTTCTGTAGCCAATTCTAGATTTGTTAGAGATACAGTTTTCATTCAGCCAATTCAAGGCATGAGAAGATCTATGCCATTTTCTTAGTCTAGAGAGTTCAAAATTAACCTTTTCTAGGTTTTCTTACAAGACTTTATTTCTACATTCAGCATCACAAAGATTATCTTTAGCAATTTTTAATTCCTTTTCATGCTTATCATGCAGATCACTCATTTTTCCTTTTCCATGTATATTAGGAGACTTCTCATTCTTAGAAGTAAGCTCAAGAACTTGGTTCTTAAGGTCTTTGACCTGTTTCTCTAAACTAGCTTTGTCATATTCAAGCTCTTTGATATCAAGTTTGTCACAAGAAAGGTTGTTATTAGCTGATTATTTCTAGTGCTCATTTTATCCATTTCATTCATTAAGGTCACAATTATGGCCATCAGTTGTTTTTTGGACATAGCATGAATATTATCTTTCAAGTCAGATATACTTACCCAGTTTGCTTCGTCTTCAGTTTCTGAATCACTCATAGCCATCATCCCTATCACTTCTTCCTCTGTTTTGGATTCTTCAATCGCCATCAAGGCCACTTCGATATTTTTATTTCCAAAGTCAATTTTCAAGATCCTCCATATATCATGAGTAGAGATGCAAGAGGTCACTATGAGGAGAGTGTTTCTAGACAAGCTTCTATAGAGCAGGTCCTTTGCTATAACATTTTTCTGAACTAACTGACGATCATCCTCATCGTATTCCTCTTCTCTTTTGTTTCACTTGTTACCTTCACTATCCATTTTGGTTGGGAGAATTGGTCCATGCCTGACAATTATCCATAGGTCAAAGTTAGTAGCATGAAGAAATATTTTCATACGCAACTTCCATTCATCATAGTGGTATTCATCAAACAACGGAGGTCTTCCAATGTGAATTCCAAGCTGTACTAGGAGTTTTGTCTCCACA